CCTACTGGTTCAGCAGGGTTGTTTGGAAGCGTTGAAGGGAGCGACGGCGATGGACGCTGCGTTAACAGAAAGAGAGAAGACGGCCATGATCGAAAAAGCACACAGCGCAATTTTGTTGAGCCTTGGTGATAAGGTTCTTCGACAGGTATCAAAGGAGACGACGGCATCAGGGTTATGGGTGAAACTTGAAAGTTTGTATATGACCAAATCTCTGGTAAATCGACTCTACCTGAAGCAAGCTTTGTATTCATTCAAGATGATTGAAGACAAAGTGTTGGCTGAGCAGTTGGATATGTTCAACAAGCTGATTCTTGATCTTGAAAATATTGATGTAAAGATTGATGATGAAGATCAAGCGCTGTTATTATTGTGCGCTTTGCCCAGATCACATGCTCACTTCAAAGAAACCCTCTTGTATGGAAGAGAGTCCCTGACCTTTGAAGAAGTTCAATCAGCTTTGTACTCTAAGGACTTGAACGAACGTAAGGAGCATAAACCTTCGACGGTTGGTGAAGGTTTGGCTGTTAAAGGAAAATTCGACAAGAGGAAAGGTAAAAATCAGTCGAAGTCTTATAGTGGTGACGCATCTGGTATTAGATGCTATCACTGTAAGAAAGTAGGTCACACAAGAAAGGTGTGCCCTGAACGCCTGAAAGATCATGGAGGTAAGGATAATGGCAATGCAGCTATTGTCCAAGATGATTTCGAATCATCTGATGTTCTTGTGGTTTCAAGCAACAACTCGTCGAAGGAGTGGATTATGGATTCTGGATGAACTTGGCACATGACTCCAAACAAAGACTTGTTCGAGGAATTATGTGATCAAGATGGTGGATCTGTATTGCTGGGAAACAACAAAGCTTGCAAGATTGCAGGCGTTGGATCTGTGAGATTCAAGCTCCATGATGAGTCAATAAGATTGTTGACTGAAGTCAGGTATGTACCTGATTTGAAGAGAAATTTGATTTCTCTTGGTGAATTCGACAAGAAAGGATATGTGTTTCAAGGAGAGAAAAGTATCCTGAAAGTCATGAAAGGGTCGAAGGAAGTCTTGAGAGGCGTGAAGAAACAAGGCTTGTATACCCTTGAGGCTGAAGTTGTAAGTGGTTCGACAAATGTTGCATCCACGAAACCTTTGTCGAAGACAGAAATTTGGCACATGAGATTGGGCCATGTCAGTGAAAGGGGTCTGGTCGAATTAGGGAAACAAAATCTGCTTGGTGGAGATAAAGTCGAAAAGCTGAAGTTTTGTGAACCCTGTGTACTTGGAAAGTCCTGTAGAATGAAGTTCAACAAAGGCAAACAAAGAACACATGGATCCCTTGATTACATCCATGCTGATCTTTGGGGGCCTGCAAGGTGTCCATCACATTCAGGAGCAAAGTATTTTCTATCCATAGTAGATGACTATTCCAGAAAGTTATGGGTATTCATCCAGAAGACTAAGGATGAAACTTTTGAGAATTTCAAAAGTTGGAAGACTCTTGTCGAAAATCAAACTGGCAGAAAGGTAAAAAGGTTGAGAACCGACAATGGCCTTGAGTTTTGCAATGAGGCGTTCGACAGTTTTTGTGTTGCCTCTGGTATTGCAAGGCACAGAACTACCGCAGGTACTCCACAACAAAATGGTTTGGCTGAAAGGTTTAATCGAACTATTTTGGAGAGAGTTAGATGCATGTTGACTAGTGCGGGATTAAAGAAGGTGTTTTGGGCTGAGGCTGTTTCGACAGCAGCATATCTGATAAACAGATGTCCTTCGACAGCGCTAGATATGAAGACACCCGAAGAAGTTTGGTCGGGACATCCACCAGATCTCGACAAACTAAGAGTATTTGGCTGTGTAGCCTATGCTCACATTAGGCAAGACAAGGTCGAACCTAGAGCTCTGAAATGCATGTTTATGGGATACCCTGAAGGAGTAAAAGCTCATAGGCTATGGTGCCTAGAGCCAGGTCACAGGAGGTGTATCACCAGTCGAGATGTAGTTTTCAATGAAACGGAAATGGCTTTCAAGAAAACTGACGATGCTGACGAAGAGCTGGAACAGGTAGAGATTCCTGTTGAGGTGGAGCATGTTGATGCTGAAATGCGTATCCCAGATGAAGTCGAAGAAGAAACAGAAGATTCTGATGATGTTGAGGAAACTGTTGATGACTACCTATTGTCGAGAGATAGGCAAAGAAGAGTCATAAAACCACCTCAGAGACTTGGATATGCAGATCTTGTAGCTTATGCCTTAATCTCTGCAAGTGAAGTTCTAGACGAAGAACCTAGAGATTATAAGGAAGCTATAAGGAGTCGAATGAAGACTGAATGGCTAAAGGCCATGCATGATGAGATGAAATCTCTTCATGATAATCACACTTGGGAACTAATCAAGAAACCTGTTGGGGCAAGGTTAGTCAGCTGTAAGTGGATTTTCAAAGTTAAGGAAGGAATCGAAGGAGTAATGTCGAAGAGGTACAAGGCAAGATTAGTCGCAAGGGGTTTCACTCAGAAAGAAGGTGTCGACTTCAATGATGTATTTTCCCCTGTTGTGAAGCACAGATCCATTCGAATGTTGCTTGCCATGGTGGCTCAGTTCGACCTTGAACTGGAACAAATGGATGTGAAGACTGCGTTCTTGTATGGTGACTTAGACGAAACAATCCTGATGAGGCAACCTGAAGGGTATGTCGAAAAGGGGAAAGAAGATTATGTGTGCAAACTGAAGAAATCTTTATATGGACTTAAACAATCTCCTCGACAGTGGAATAAGAGATTCGACAAGTTCATGGAACACATAAGTTTCATTAGAAGTCAGTTCGACCATTGTGTTTACTCCAGATTTCGACCTGAAAATTCATTTGTTATTTTGCTGCTCTATGTTGATGATATTCTGATAGCAAGCAACAATGTCGAAGATGTAATGAGGGTGAAGGCTGAACTCAATAAGGAGTTCGACATGAAGGATCTGGGAGCTGCATCTAGGATTCTTGGAATTGACATTCGAAGAGATAGAAAGCAGTCGAAATTATGCTTATCTCAAGAGGCATACCTACGAAAGATTCTTGACAAGTTTGGTATGTCAAATTCAAAGCCTGTTGTGACTCCAACAAACCCTCAATTCAAGCTGAGCATTGATCAATGTCCCAGTACTGATGTCGAAAGAATCTATATGAACAGCATCCCATATGCTAATATAGTTGGTTCTTTGATGTATGTTATGGTCTGTACTAGACCCGACATAGCATATGCAGTAAGTCTTGTAAGCAGGTACATGGCGAATCCTGGAAAGGCTCACTGGCAAGCGTTAAAGTGGATTCTAAGGTACATAAATGGGTCTCTGAACAGAGTCTTAATTTATGGTGGAGCCTTGGGTGAAGATAGTAAAGCAGCTGTCGAAGGCTATGTTGACTCTGATTATGCAGGTTGTATGGATTCCAGAAAATCTATTTCTGGATATGTTTTCACTATGTTTGGTACAGCAATTAGTTGGAAAGCAACTCTTCAGAAGGTTGTTGCCTTATCAACTACTGAAGCAGAATATATTGCCCTAACTGAAGCTGTGAAAGAAGCATTGTGGCTTGAAGGTTTTGCAAAGGAACTGAAACTTCAAGGTCAAGGTATCACTGTTAAATGTGATAGTCAAAGTGCAATACACCTGTCGAAGAACTCAGCCTATCATGAGCGAACCAAGCACATAGATGTGAGGCTGCATTTCGTCAGAGGGGTAATCGAGCGTGGAGAAGTCCAAGTGCTGAAGGTCTCGACAGAACACAATGTCGCTGATATGATCACCAAAACATTGCCAAGTTGCAAGTTTTTCCACTGTATGCAGTTGATAAGGCTGCATGAAGAAAGCTAGTTAGTGTCTCTTGATGCTGTAGAGTTAGGTCCAAGGTGGAGATTTGTGGGATTTTGGATCGAACTCTAGTTGGTCGAAGTACTTGCTGTAGTCGAAGAAGGTTCTAGCATGTATTTGTCGAAGGATGCTTGTCGAATTAGGTTTTAGTGTTTAAACCCTAATTTGTTAAGTTAGCTTGTTTGTTAAGTTAGCTTGTATAATGGGCCTTGTGGAAAAAGCCCATTAGTTAGTATGTTAGGTTTTATTATAAATAGCATACTAGTCTCTCATCATTGCCATCACAGCAAATCCTAATTTAGGGTGAGAGGGTTATTTGTTATTCTTGTAAACTTGTAATCTTGTTTTCTAAGAGAAAGTAAAGAATAGCAGTTATAACCAATTCTTGTGTTCTTCTTCTTCCTTGTTCCTTATTCCTCCCTAATTCTATACTTTGTTATTGGTATCCAATTCACAACAGATTAGGTAGCAGATCTTCTAATCAAGCCATTCAAGATTGAAAATTTAAAGAGATGAGAAGTATGCTTAATGTAACTAATGTAGATACTATGAATTATGCGGAAGTGTTGAAGTGTAATTCAAGTTTAGAAGGTGTTAGTTAAGTTATCTGTTATATAACTAACAAACTAACTGAGTTGGTTATGTTGTTCGGTCTAATTAGCAATTGTAAGACTATTTGGTGTTGTATATAACCATAATTTGTCACTAATGTAAGAATAACAAGTGAATGGAAAGTTCATACACACAAATCAATTCGTTTTCTCTCTTTAGTGTGCGTATAATTCTAACAAAATTGAACATTTTATTACACAATAAAACTGCGTGCACTTGCTAGTTAAGAATCATACCCTAAACCCTAAACCTTTTTAAAACCTTGGGTACAAAAGTATTCCTTGTTAGTTGGGAAATGTTATCATGATTATACATACTATGGCTTAGATATCGAGTAATGTCAAAAGAACCATCATACTAACACAACACAAAGCTCACATGGTATTAAAATATCAGATACATAATAGTTTTATGAAAACACTACTATAAGCAACATTATTTTTCTTATTTAAGTGACCAACTTCACTACTAAAACCAATGTGCAAGAGAAAAAAAAACTTATTTAATACGGAAATTCTACCGTGGGGTTCCACAACGTATTTCATCAGTCAAGAAACGGGTAGTCAGTATAACCAACAACTGGATCAGAAGTGTAAAATGTCTCCCTATTATACTTGTTGAGAGGGGCATCAAGTGCAAATCTCTTTGGCAAATCTGGATTAGCCAAGAACAAACGACCATAAACAACAAGATCTGTCTTGTTTTCAGCAACAGCATTGATTCCATCTTGTCTGTCATAACCTCCTGCCACTATGAAAGTTCCATTAAAAGCCTTTCTCATTGGCACCAAACTGTGAGGACTATTATCAACCACTTCAAAAGCAGATTTAATTCTTGGTTCCACCATGTGACAGTAAAGAATGTTATATTTATTGACAGCATTAACCATATAAAGTCCCAATTCTTTAGGACTAGAGTCTCCACATTCTGAATGTTCTGCAAAAGGTGATAATCTTATTCCAACTTTATCTGCCCCTATTTCATTCACAGCAGCTTCAACAACTTCCAAAGCAAATCGACAACGGTTCTCAATAGATCCACCATACTCATCTGTTCTATCATTCACTTCATCTTTCATGAATTGTTCAATTAAATAACCATGAGCCGCATGTATTTCAATCCCATCAAAACCTACCATTTACATCGAATTGAGCATGTTAGCTAATTTGCAAAATGCACTTTAAAGAAACAAATTAAATAGTCCAGTTTCTAAAATAATAAAAAAATTAGTGTACTATGATTAAGGCATTTTTCAACTTTGGAGAAATTTGTAAAAATATAAGTGAAGTTACCAGCTTCGATAGCATTTCTTGCAGCAAGTCTAAAGTCATTGACAATATTAGGAATTTCATCGGTGCTTAGCTTTCTCGGTGGCGTGAACTGTTGTGCATGACTGCTTGTGAGTGACTTGTCTGAAGAAGATATCGGTGTTTGCCCATTAGGCTGATAACCTGTCAAAATAACAAGAAACATAGACATGCATTGAGAGGGTATAAAAAATAAACTAGTGGTATTAGTTATCAAATAGATACGTTATACATACATGAATTTGAAACCCTTCCAACATGCCAAATCTGACAGATAAAGACACCGCCTTTGGCATGAACAGCATCTACAATTGGTTTCCATGCTTCCACTTGTTCCTTTGTCCATATACCTGGCGTGTTTGGATATCCTTGAGCCGTGTCCGAGACACCGGTAGCTTCTGTTATGAGAAGACCACCTTGAGATGCTCTCTGAGAGTAATAGAGGATAGCATGAGGCTGAGGAACGTTGTTGAATGATCTTGTTCTAGTAAGTGGTGCCAGAACAACTCTGAAAAAATGAAGCAAGTGAAAATGGTTAATTAATTAGCAATGCATTGAAATGGAAAGTGTTACTAATACTATGAACAAACCTGTGGGAGAGATTGAAGTTTCCCATCTTGAAGGGTGTAACAAGAGGAATAGGATCAGCAGCAGCATTTTCGAATTTTTTGATACCCATAAGTTAAATTATTGATAGCAAACAAAATATGGAATTGAATTTGAAGAGAGTTTGTTGGGCTTATCTATATTTATAGTATGTCTTAAAGTGGTGAGAGTGAATCGCACACCATTTTTGGTTCTCCTGACGTGTGACATTTGCGTTGGTATAGTTGCCTCTTTTGATTTTGTTTAGTTTAATAAGGTACTACTAGATGGCTTATTGGTTGGAGAAAAGGGTTTAGTATATTACATCAACATCAGCACAGCACAGGGTATATACTATGTGCTTCCTTAACGGTTAATATTACTTTGTTAATTCGGTAAATTATACTAATATAGTTAATTATTTAACTGATTTTGTGATTTTACTTTGATCATTGTTACATTTTGGTTCATTAATTTTAACTTAGTTATATTAGTCATTTTCTATCATCTCTTTGATAGTTATTGGTTATATATGTGTTCAACTTAAATGATTTTATTCACCCATAATAAAGAATTAACTATCTTAGCGACAAATTTAATGTTGCTATAGAGTTAATTAATATTAACAATATACAATGGTAAAAAATTGTCGTGTAGTATACCCTTTGTCATGTTAACATTTTGACATTCTCATGTGTACACTTGGTCACTAAAATCTTATATACGATGTCTCATATAGTTAATTGAGATTAACATGAGAGACTAAAAGTGTGGATAAAAAATATTAAGAAGACGATTATTTAAAAGTATTTTTTTGAAAAACTAATTGCATGTTTGTTTCCGTGATAGAATCCCATCAAACATGCATTTAGTGAGAAGTTTGGATTTCTAGCTTCAGAAAATCACGACGAAAAATGCATTGGAACGCGATAAAACTAGTCTGGACGTGGAACCAAACACATGCTAAAAATGAATTTCGATATATTTAGAATAATCATTATCTTATTTAACCATAAATTTATTAAACATTTATTTGAAGAATAAAATGTTATTCATGCTAACAATTTATTATTGAGACATGATATTTGAACATCCGAAGATTAGACACCGCATGCATACACTGTGTGAATATCTTATTTTTTATAGGGATTTGAATTGACTTAATCCTTCCATTTTTTTCAAAGCTATCCCCTCTCTTCCCTTCCAAACTCCCAAACAGACCCTAAGTATATTTAATCCTCGTAATTATAGGGATTTGAATCGACTGCAGTCATATATTCCACACAGTCACACTGTCAAGGTACTATAACCCGTCTGATTTTGATCAGACAGACAAAAAAAAATAGATCGAAATTTTATTTAGTAATTCTAAAAATACTGTGATAAAATCAAAACTGTCCAATTTTAATCGAGCGGTCACGGCTGCTTGACTGCGTGAATGCAGGATCTGCCGAGTGCAGCAAATCCAAATCCTATTTATAGAGGGTGGATCTTGCTCCTTGTCAATGTCATGCTCGAATTCTGGGGTTATTTTGTCGAGTTAATAGGAATTGTGGCTGAATAAGTATGGTTGAACTAATAAATCATGGCCGAGTTAATAGAAACTGTGACCGTGTAAGCATGGTTGAGCTAATAGGAGTGGTGGTCAAGCTATTAGGAATCAGGGTCGCATAAGTTTGGTCGAGTTAGTAGAAAATATGTTCGAGCTAATAGTAATCACGATCAAATTAATGGGAAGAGGATCCAAGATAGTTGCGGTGTGGCTGAGTTGGTAGCAATGTGCCAAATTTTCCGAGATGATAGCCAAGTTGATAGCAACATGGTCGAGCTCATAGTAACTTGGGTGAGCTAATAGTAACACGGAATGAGTTTTGCAATTACAAATCGAGTTTAGACAAATATATGATGATCTGCAACCCCAAACACGAGACTTAAAAGAATGAAGTGCTTAACTTAGTAAATTGAGATGAATAATTTATAGATTCAATAAACTTATGCTTACTATTTAGCTAAATCTCATGCTTCTTTAATGTAAGTCTCGTGCTTAACTCCTTTTCAAAACTTTGTTAAATAAGCAAGTTTTGGGTACTGAAATGATCACTATTATTTAGAAAATAATAGTATCGTGATGATTTGAATAAAGTAGCTATGGATTTGAGCACTGTCTAAAAGAATCTTCATATTTACGCAAAATATCACAATGATTTGAATACAATAGTTTTGCATTGTGTCCTATACAGAAGTATACAAAAATACAACTATAAGCAACAAATTTCTTATTTAAGTGGCCAACGTCAATACAAAAATCAATGTGCAATAAGGGAAAAAGTCTTATTTAATATAGAAGTTTCACCATTGGATCCTACAGCATGTGTTTCATCATTCAAGAAAAGGGTAGTCAGTATAACCAACAACTGGATCAGAAATGTAGAATGTTTCCCTGTTGTATTTGTTTAGAGGAACATCAAGTGCAAACACTACAAGAATATATGTCTCCAGCGACATATATTAGCGACGTGCTTATCACGTGAGTAGTAGCGACGTGATAACCACGTCGCTAATATATTTTAATGACATATAATGCAAATCAGAGAACGTTGGAAAGGGGGAAATTTGAATTTTGGTAGCGACGTGATAGTCACGTCGCTATATTTTAGGGGGGAAAATAAATTTGGCTGATGACAGAGTTGCAGAGTGGGAGAGAGAATAATTTTTCTGTTTAGTTTGTAGCGACGTGATTATCACGTGACAACGTTGCGACGTGACAGTCACGTTGCTACTAGACGTTACATCTCCAAAGTTTTCATTTTTACAGAAGCGTTGCTTTCTTCTTCCTTCCTCTTCCTTTCTTCTTCCTCACAAACCCATACTTCTTCCTCTCAAACCCAAATTCCCGAATCAAATTTCCTCCATCCCAAATTGTTGAAGAAAAATAAGGTATTCATATTTTGATAAATGTTTATTTCGTTTGTTCATTATTTATTATACTGGAAAGAAATATTAAAAAGGGTATTTGTTCGTTTGTTCATTATTATTTGTAGAGAAATTTGAAGAAGAACACCCAGAACTATCCAAGAAGACGCAAATTTATTGAAGAAATTATATAGAGGTATTTATGCATTTTTTTTTAGATTTTATATGTATTATATAGATTAGTGGTATATGTATTTTGTGGTTAAGAAGTATATGTATTTTGTTAGTAGTATATATGTACTGATAATAAAAAATTTTAGAAAACATAAAATTAAAAGTTTTTTTTTTATAGATGTATATATATATATATATATATATATATATATATATATATATATATATATATATATATATATATATATATATATATATATATATATATATATATATATATATATATATATATATATATATATATATATATATATATATATATATATATATTATATATATATATATATATATATATATATATATATATATATATATATATATATATATATATATATATATATATATATATATATATGTTAACACATAAATTTAATAACATTAACATATTTTTTATAGATGTATATTATATTTATTATAATAGTTTTATTTTTTTATTTATATGTTAAAGATATGGAAAAAAAATTATATATTAAAATAAGAATTTATAAAAAACATAATTAAAAAAAGAATATATATATTATATTATTATTTTAATATTATTGTTATATATATAATAAAAAGTATATATGTTACATTATTTGTTTCTAATATTATTGTTGTATATATAATAAAAAGTAAATATGTTATATTAATATTGTTTTTTGATATTATTGTTATGTAATAAAAAATTATATATTTTACATTTGAATATTTATTTATATGTTAGTATATATATAAAAAAGCAAAATTTATATTTTTAAGAATAGTATTAAATAGTTTAAGAATAATATTATTAAGTTGATTAATATTTCTAATGAAAAAGACAATGATTGTATAAATGTGCAGTATGGAATATTATCGGTATTATCGCAGTTGGATGTACGATAGAACATATCCAGGAAGAAGTGGACTTAAACCCAATTTTATAGTAGGAGTTGATGGGTTTATTAAGTGGGCGTTTGCTCAGGATTGTTGTCGAAGCGAAGGAGGGGTTAGGTGTCCCTGTCTTAAATGTGAATGTAGACCAATAATTAGTGACCCAGAGGAAGTAACACGTCATCTGCATAGAAGGGGATTCATTGAAAATTATTGGGTTTGGACGTATAATGGTGAAGAACTACCGGTTAATGTACCAGAGACTAGCAACACGCATGCTTCAAGTAGTCGACCGGTTATGGAGTATGAGGAGAACTTTAATTTGATCGGTGACATGGTTGAGGATGCTTTTGGTGTGAACGTGACATATGATGAACCTGAAGATTTTGACGGGGAAGAGTTGCCGAATGAGGAAGCGCAAAGATTTTATCAATTATTGAACGAGATGAATACGCTGTTGTTTGAGGGGTCGTCAGACTCGAAGCTATCGATGTGTGTGAGATTATTGGCCGCCAAGTCAAATTGGAATGTTTCTGATCAATGTCTGGAACATTTTGCAAAAATGATGTTGAACTCCACCGCTACGAAAGACAATTTTCCTACAAGTTATTATGATGCAAAGAAGTGGGTGTCGAAGTTGGGTTTAAAAGTAAGAAAGATTGACTGTTGCATTAACGGTTGCATGTTGTTTTATGACAATGAGTTTGGTACTCAAGATGGATCGTTAGAGGAGTGTAAGTTTTGTAATAGTCCAAGATATCGAGTTCGCAGTAGAGCCGTTAACAGCAAGCAAAAGCGTGTAGCAGTAAAATCCATATTTTATCTTCCTATAATACCAAGGTTAAAAAGAATGTTTGCTTCAATGCACAGTGCAAGTCAAATGACATGGCATCATACAAACCAAACAAGTTCTGGCACTATGCGACATCCATCTGATGGTGAGGCATGGAAGCACTTTGATCGGACACATCCAGATTTTGCTGCAGAACCTAGAAATGTCAGGCTTGGATTATGCTCTGATGGATTTGC